AAGTCTGAAACCAGAATAAAATCTGAACCCATTTAAGTACCTATCTATGTGTTTTTTCCCTCTCATCAAATGGTATTTTTTTTTCGATGGAACGAGATGTCATGACCAGAAACAGGTAGCTTGAGCTCACAGTACTGAAAAGTTTCAAGCTGATTTTTTTATTCTCAAATGAAAATGAAATCGCAATAACGCAGTGTATGATATTTCATTCACAAAAGACAATGCCGGAAATTGGCGTCTTTTTTTTTTCGCGCGGCCATCGACCAAACCTTGTTTTTTGATTACAAAATAGTGTAATAAACCAAACTTACTATAACATGTATACCTCTAAACTCAGTCTGAACTGAGTTACGAGCGTTAGAAATTTGATGATTTACATACTAGATTTGCTTTTTGCGCGCAAGTTTTGTAAGAAATTGCAACAAAATAGTGACATTGTGTGTGTAAACAAACAATACCATCCATTAAAGGCTCCAGACATCAGTGTGGACCAGAATCAGCGCAATNCTTTCACGTACGGAAGGAAAGCTGGTTCCCTGCTCACCATTGGTTGCTTATCCCTCTTGAGCCTCCTCTCCATTTGTCTTGCTGTAGCACTGTAGCCATTCCTTCTTAGTACCTCCTTCACATGTTTTAGTTCCCCTTCCACATGTTCAGGGTCGCATAGGTTATATGCCCTATTAACCAATGAGGAAATAACTGCTTGAAGATGACGGGGATGGTGATGAGAAGAGGCGTGCAGATATCTGTCCGTGTGAGTCGGTTTCCGGTAAACTAGCTTAATGTACCTAATTGGTAATGCTTACATGATACAATTTCGAATAGGTTATCTATTTTCAACATTGGCTAAATCTTGGTCCCTGAAATATAAGTTATTAAAGTCTTAAATTAGCTTTTAAAAGCAAAGTTAGAAGTGTTTATGCATATTTCCCTTTTGTGGCAGCCCTGATTACTTGGGATGCTGCGCCCGCGCTTCACTTTCATCTGACATTTAGCCCGCTTGCAACACGGACAATAATGTAATACGGCATCATAATAAAATACACTTTTATGTTCAAGATCACATAAATTGGCCGCTGGTATGCTGACGGCGCATTATTTTACTGATTATTATAGTGAGCATCGTTATTTTATATTGCTTTAAGTTGGTTTTATTTGAGTTTATTATATTGCAGGTAATTGAATTAACGCGGGTAATATGATGATCAATTTAGGTTACTTACAACTTTTGGTTAAGAAATGAGGTCAGTATTAAAGAACATCTGATTTTGTGTTATGTTTTTGTAGATATCCGATGTTTTTGAACTGAAATAAATCTCTTTCGGTCGACCTAAAAATAGACGACGAATAATCTTGATGGTTAAACTACAATTTTATAGAAATGTAGAGAAATTTTGTTTCTTTCCAAATTAATAGAAATCGTAAAGGTGAGGATAGATTCTATGATATGTTCTAGTATATCATCTTTTAACGCCCCGCACATTTTGCCTGCATTGTATAATTCGTTAGAACCTTACATCACATAGAAAAGCTCGAGAAAAAGCTCTCTATACTCACTTTAATGAAGTTTCCATGGTTCTTAACCACAAAATCTGTGTATCAAAGCACTTATAACCCATTAGCCAACCACACCACCATGCGAGATAGGTATTAGTTCAAGAGTTGCGCTTGCAAATTGCGTCGTATTTCCTCACAAAAATGTGCTTATCGCGATATTTGATGTTCTTGCGCAGAGCTTAGACCTACTTACTCCTAGTTACATCATTATTCATTACCCACTTTTGTAAAGTTTTGTTGTTACATACGAGTACATCTGCAATATGTCCCGCTAATATAGAGGCGTTAGGCAGGCTCATGCATTTTTTTTTTGCAAGTAGGTACTTAAGTTTACTCCTGATAAGAAAAAAATCACAAATACATCTAAGATAGAGTGCAAACATTTACAATGTTTTGTATAAATCTTTTGATAAAACCCTCAACTAATTCAATAGACATACTATCGCTGTTAATTTTCTATTAAGAATTTTCCATAGGCAATATATTCGATTAGAATCATAAGTGCATTTCAATAAACATCCATCTATTACCATATAAATAAACGTAATAGAGACACTGCAATCAAATTACAATACAAGTGTTTTCATAACTCAATACTATTCGCATTTACATATAAAATGTTATTGGTCGTAACTGTATATTGTAAATGTATAGTTCGATCATGTGTTGTGATTAATGGGCTATAATGCATTATTAAATAGCTCACGTAACTCGGGTCGAGGAAACCCAGGTCGTGGGCTAGTGGAGAAAATGCTTGCGTAACGCAGGGTACAGATTACTTGCTTGCTACAAAAGATGTAGACTTCTGCATCCTCGTAAAGAACAGGAATTAAAATTAAATATGAAAGATTTACTGAAAGGATTAGCAATCTGGGGGCACGGCAGTGCCCCCACCAAGTCGAGCAAAAAAGCGGCACGGCCGTACCATCCTTTTCTCGAAGCAATTCAGGCCATTTTCGACCGCCTGTAACTTCGTTGTGGATAAAACTAGAAGGCTGAATTTTCATTAGCTATGCAGGCATTGTAANTGCCACACTCGCGTAGTACAATTTTTTTTCAGTACAGTCAGTTTAAACTAGGCAAAATTTTTATTTTGTAATATTTTTTGGGAATAATGTATTTTTTTCATCCAAGTTGGAGCAGCTGGTTTTGTAATTTTGATAACAATTTAGAGAAGCATTATTCAGGGTTACATAACAAAAAAAAAATTTGGAAAAAGTGAATATTTGTGGCAACACGAGTAAAAAGACCGTCACCGGGAGTAGAATTTTTTGATTTTTTTTAAATGCCTATTATTTTAACAAAATACCACATAGATTTTTTTTTATATTTTTCTGATAACCAGCATAACTTGCCTCAACACCCAGTTCCGGCTTGACGTTACATTACGGGACACCCTGTATATTATAAACATTTAATATGTTGAGAAAGACGTTTCTCATAAACTCGCAATTAATGTAAATCAATAAATAATGTCTGAAAAAGGTTTTTCTCTTTCTGTTTCAAAATGAAAACCTTATCGTATTCTATTCTATGTAATTGTTTTTAAGATTTAACGCTGGTTTTAAAATTGATTTATCAGACTTAAATGTAGAGCCTGTGAATTAAATAAAATCATAAACAATAAACAAATAAAATCATAACTTATTTGAAAGTTTAAACCTGAGGTTTAAACTCTAGGCTAAGCTAATCTATTGAATGTTTGAAATTAAATATTTAGCCTAATCAATCAGACTTGAATTTATTATTTAGTGTAGTTGATGCTTTCGTAACGTTTAATGGTATGGGCGTTAATCGTCTTTTTGTTTTAACTTCTTGAAATATTCTGATCATTAGGAAATACAAAGCGGAAAACATTAATCTAATCGTGAAGACCATGTAATAAACTGAACTGAGTGAAAGAAAGTTGGGGCGAGAGGGTCGCGGGAACAGTCGTTTGCGCAACTGATCGAAGATAAACCGAGTTCAATGCGGGGCGACCGCTTGGGAGAGTTTTGTCCTGTGACTGTAGACAATGCAATGTAACGTTCGATTTATGATTCATGACCGTTTAGTTCCATTTTTAATTTAATGTATGAAGGATTTGGTCCTGGACTGAGCAAAGTTTATTTGTGGGCCAAACATTGCATGAAAAACATACTGAAATTCTTTCATTACTCTACTACGGCAAGGGTTATGATATGATTCCATACATAGAATTATGTCCAAAACAGATATGACTTTAACGAATGTTGATAGGTCTCCAAACTGAAATAGTTTCTAGTTATCATCACTTAGAATATTTTACGATTGTGGGTACCTAAACCCTTGCAGTAACCGCGTAGATTTTCTTTGTTAGATTTGGAAAAAAAGTTTAAAATTCTAAGATTTACAATACCTAAATGACGTAGTGTTGAATGCACCTACTAATAATAATATGTAGTACTACATTTTAATAGACGTAGATAGTGATCTTCATCATGTAACTACTACACTATATTCCAAAAATATACCTACGGCAATATCGTAATATAGACGTACGTTTTTCCCATGTTACACTCAGCCGCACACGAAGTCTATCAAAAAGCAGTTATCACACCTGACAAATGCACAATGATGATCATCAGTCAGCAGCATTTCACAACATCGCTCAATGATAGAAAACACCCGCTTGATAATATGTTATGTTACCTAATTGCAGCTAGAGAGTGCTCACCGTAGGGTTGACAGAAGTATTTTAAAACGAAGTCTGCTTATTTACATGTCTATTTTATACATATACCTACTGAAATAGTTCATAAAATTTATTTAATTTCTTTTTCAATAAATAAAAGAATTTAGAATTTTGAAATAGGTACATCTAATGAGGGAGAAATGTTATAGCTATGCTAATTTCCTCCTACATCATTTGTCATAACTTAAAATCGAGTCGTCGTCAATTAGCGTACACTTATATAGCTTATGATTTGGCAGCCCTAATCTATAGACTGAAAGATGCGCACGCGACTCGCAGATGATGCATAGTTTATATTTTCGTCTTTCATATCTCCGAAGCGAGACATTAGCGGATAATGTTAAACGCAATGCTTTTAATAACCACCACGGTATGTGAAAATAATGCAAAGCAGCTATTGTGACGTTCGCTATAAAATTTCACTCTATGTGAATCTCGATTAATTTATATGTTACGTAAATGTGACTCATGTTGCGTAAATGCGGGTCAAATGTGCATATTTTGGGAAAGCGAATTCGTTATATCTATGTAGATGACATGCTCATTAAAATGTAATATGACGCGGCAAACCGTTGCGAGACGAGCAAAATGCTTGATGCTATTACATTTTATAGCTCTATACACAATTAGGTCGCACGTAAGCCAGTACCCAAGTATGGCTAACCTTTTCGTTTCGATGTAATTGGAAAACTTACGAAATATACTAACAGATGTTTCATCTCATTTCCAGATTGTATTTTGCGCTGCGCTGTTGGCGACATGGGCGGAGCCAGATCCGAAAAAGTACAAATCTGAAGTGAAAGACAAAGACAAGGCCACCAATGCAAGCCTCACAGATGAGGAGAGAAAATTCCTACGAGAAGTTGAAGCCAAGTTTGGAGTTAAAAATGATGTACCAGATATTACGAAAGTTGACGATAAAACTAATGGCGTTGGCGTTGCCAACTCCAACGAAACAGTCAAGGCACCATTTCCAGCGGTAATTGCTATAGAAATCGTTAATGATACCGATACCAATACCAAAGGGAAAAGGACTATTGACGCTAATCTCGGCTATGGATACAGAACGAACCATGGGTATACTTACACCTATTTTGGAAAGCCGCAGGACAAAGGAAAATTCATGATTTACCCGTACTCGCAAGAAGACATCCCGCCGGCGCAAGGAGCTTCATACAATCACGGATCATCTGGGACTTATACTACTGCATCCACTCAAGTAGAGATCCAACCATCTCGGGCTTATGAGCTGGTCGACGTGAAGGAAGAACAAAATTCCTATCACTATAACAAGCCTACACCATCCCCGAACACAAACTACCAGAACATAAAAGGACTTGTCTCTCCACCACCTCCTTACAGTTCCAGTGAATCTCATCAGGAGACCACTCACCAAAACCCAACTCTGTACACCACTTACAATGGGCAAGACTTCTCCGCTTTAAGTGGACAATTCCCAAGGGTGATGTCTAACTACTTGGTAGATTCTTCGCAACTACTAAAGAATCCACAATACCAGAGTGCTGGCCTCAATCAAGACTACGTGAAAACTCATAGCTCTCAACTGGGTCAAAGAGTTGTTCCAGTCTTGGTGCTGAGAGTTCCTAGTTCTTATTTGAAACAACCAACCGCTGAACTGTATTCTAACTTACCTAACAATTACCCTGTTTCTCATTACCTTCAAAATGTTAATTTGCAAGAAGTCGTTAATAACTACTTCAAGAAAATCGGCTATTCCTTCGCCCCTCAAGTAATGACGTATCAAAACTCATTGTTATCAGACCCAGGATCGACTCCTGCAGTAGCAAGCCACGAAACTCATAACTATGCCAATCCTCATGTGAATCCTGCATATACACAAGCAGATTATTCAGGCGTTCAATATTCAGCTGTGCAGCCCGTAATGGCCAAGTATCCTACCACGTACACTAGTAAGGAGCAGTACTATGTACCTATGACTCAATCTCTTTACCAGCAACCGCAGCAGCAATACGAATACATGTACCAGTATGTGCCTCAGCAGGAACAATCTCAATTGTACTATGTGCCGCAATACCAATCGCAATCAGCTGAAGTATCTCATGAAGCTCAGGGTGGGCATGCAGCTGTTGAACAGAGCAGCAGAGGGCATGCTGAATATGGTGTTCCTCAACAATCAACTGTCTACCAAACATCTGAGCCAACCGTGGAGTATGGAGCACCTGAAGCTCAAGGATCACCGCAGCATGGCACATCAGAAGTATCTTATGAATCCTCTCAGTTAGCAGCACAAGAATACGCTGCTCAGAAGGAACAGGCTGTAGAATACACCCCTCAACAAACGGTATCTGCCGAGTACGGTCCTACCAAACTAAACTTGCCAACTTACACCTCTTCCCAGGGTAGAGCTAATTACGGATCACAGCACAGCTCGCCGAAAGAGACTCTTGCTATCTACTCTCAGCAACTAAGTCAAGCGGCGGCCAATTACGGTCATAAAGAGGCATCAGGAAGTCCGAATTACTACTATCAGAAACAAGCGGGCGATGAGTCCGATTCGAATACATTGGTGATTTCGGAGAACTACCCGAGTAAAGATCACACGCTCGCAACGGTCCTGCCGCTGAGCTACAAACGTGACAAGAAACCCAATACTGCGACGGTCCAGACCGTTAGCTACGTCACACCGATGCCATACTCGCACAAATACCAGTCGCCCTACAAAATAATGGTGCCGCAGACGGTTCTTAGAAATCCGTCTGCGGAGAAGGTGTCCTATGTAAATTCGCATTCGATACCGTACAGTCAGATTGCGAATCAAGAGTATAACCCGGAGGCCGAGTACACTGCCCCGGCGCAGTACGTGCCACCTGTCAGCAAGCAGAAACCTCCAGCGTACCCTCGCAATTACCACTCTCATCCGAAACGTAACGCAAAACCAGAGAAGTCTGAAAACCATTCCACTCAAACGAAGAAACGCGGGGAGAAGAACGACCATAAGAAATCATCGTAGTTATTTTTGCCAACTAGAATTTAAGTTGTAAATATAGCGTAAGTGATGTTACTTACCGTAGTACTAATTGTTGTACAGAATTAAAGTATTGCACATGTTTTATTGAAAACTTGAAAATATCCGAAAATTCATTCGGGCATTTTAAACCAGCACTTATTTGTAAGTTATTTATTATTGACACAATATTCTGTTTCGTGATTCATAATGTAGGTTTTTAACGTAAATGAAAGTTACCGAAAAACCAATGTACATGGATTTATAAATCGTTTAGATATCTTTTTACATTATCTTTGTTTTATCGATATGTTTTTCATTGTTATGTTTTTGGTTGTAATTGAATTGTTGAATGATTGGTATATTTTTGACTTGTTATTTATTTGTTAATATCATTCAAAAACGTGGCTGTATCAAAGTGCAATATGTTAATTAGAATTAAAATATTGTTAAACCTTAAATAAAACTTTTAAAACCTATTTCCGTCAGTCCTTTTACAACCTTTTAGGTACTTTTTAAGTTTCTAATAGGTATTTGTTCAATCCCTCAATACATTTATATTGGCATCGATGTTTAACAATGCATAGGCGTACTGCTTCAGCAGTTAGATTACAATTAGAAATTCAGTCCAGAATAATTGAAACGCGATTTATTTACTATTAAATTAGTATGTACCTAGTCATTGAGTAATTAAACAGTATACTCGTATAAAACACGATGTTAAATTGTGACTGTTGTAACTCGATTAGGCTATTATCTCGATTATACAGCATCAATCTTTCGAGTTTTAACAGCTTATTACCGTTACGAAATCGCGGCTTTTTGCGCTGTACTACGACTGATGAGTAAATGTTTTCTTATACTGATTTATTACCCTAATTATTAAGATTTATTAGGTTAGTAATTTTGACTGACACTGTGATCAATTAAGTAGTATGCCTTCATTTTATTTCAATGCTTACACGATTTAGGTATTTGGGTTTAGTTTTTATTATGAAAAGTTATGTATGATTAAAACGTAAATGCACAAATGGTTGAATTGATATAAAAGTGTGCTATATAAATAGAACAACAAGCTGGAATAAACTGGATGCTAGTGGCCAGGGACAGAAATTGGTGGAAGGTTGAAGAGGAGGCCTACGTTCCAAGACGAACCCCAAAGGCTGTTATAGATAGATAGACATAATATGGATGGACCTGGTAAAGACGGCAGTAGCTATGTAGGTACGTTATTAGGGAATTTAATATTATTATTTTATAAGAGAATTTAATATTTTTGTTACTGTTATTTCATTTGTCAACCGATTTCAAAAAAGGAGGAGGTTCTCAATTCGACCCGTATGTTTTTTTTCTATGTTTGTTACGCGATAACTCCGCCAATTATGAACCGATTTGAACAAATCTTTTTTCGGCGTATAGGCACAGAATAATAATAAGTACTACGTACAGAAGTTTTACTTCGCGAAGGTATTTAAAAAAATGTATGCTCAATGTCATTAACAATATGGTGTAATTTAGCTTGTCTCAAGAGTCAAGCAAGTTTGTCAGAAGTTTTGAGGACAAACGTCAGTGATCGGTACTGCGCCGAAGCTATAGGGCTGACTTCGGTAAAATGATGTGACGTGAGGTGCCAATCTGCAGAAAATGGCGGAGGAAATACATGATTTATAGCCTGACCAGGAACATAAAAANGCCTGGTATAGGTAATACCTCAAGGGTGGTCCCATTTAAATTTAATAATAGAAAAAACAACCCCCAAGGGTGGAAAATTGGGGATGAACTTTTTTATACGCAATATTTTTAATTTTTGTTTTTTTTTTGTGTTCACGCATTTGTAGTCGGTTTTAATTTTTTTTAAAGTTAATTATCTATTTTAATGCTCAATTTGACCCCAATGTTTACAAAACGGAAGACCTGGCGAAGGTCACGGGGAATACAAATAGGGTCCTAGCATAACTACGGCATTTTGGCGCTTATAGCATGTGGCAGAGCGACCCATTCTTAAGCTCTACCTATGTGGCTAAGACCAATATGATGTGAAATGTAAGAGCCAAAGATAGGGATTGTTTTGGGTTCCCCTTATAAAGAATGTACACTAAGAAATCATTATTTAAGATAGATAATGAATAACGAGCCGATAGAGACATTATAGGGTCGATAGTGAAAAGTTTAACTACCTTATTAGAAAAGCTTTCACAAGTTCTCTTGCCAAGAAACTTTGCTTGTAATAGTCTTCTAGGTTGATAATTTGCGACCGTATTCACAAACGATGCTTGCTTAAGTGAAGCAGCAATCGAACACACAGCGTTGAATAGAGCTCTGTGATTGGTTCGTGTGTCACCCTGTGCGGCCACGCGCACTGTGTGACCTCCTCCTTCTATTTCTGAATACTTATTCAGATTTACATTTAAACGGGCATTATGAGTATTTTGAAAACAACACGCATTTTTCATACATATTTACCATGTTTTACAATTAGTGAGGCAATGCAAGTAAAAATTACTGGATCAATAGAGAAGGTGTCTACTAACATTTACAATTAAACATCCATCTCACTCCACAATCAACAAGCCCGACGACATTATTGTATAATTAAAAAATTGTATTTATATATTTTTTGTTTCCCCGAAGTGTTTTTCTCTAAACAACCATATAGTAATTAACACTGTACTGTAATTGTCTTCGCACGTGAAACTCCTTACAGTGAGCTGTAAAAAGAAATGGAGTCACAGTCCACTGGCCGTAATGCTATGCGCACAAAAAACTAATAATCCATTGTTCTCTGTTATGAAAGATGTGGTGTTGAGTATCGATCGGTTATGATAATCTGTTTCCTCTTTAAAGAATGTGGTGTTGTTTTACAAGTTTAGTCCATATAGGTTTGTGGAAGCAAAGGTGCTTCATGGTGGCATGCGGCGATAGATTGTTTAGGCGTTGAATGTCCACGGTTAATGTAGAGCCCTTGTTATTTCAGTCTCGTTTTCTTCTTTGAGGCGAAGTGAAAAGTGAAAGTTAGGAATTTAAGCCAATAAATGCAAGTTAGTAGCAGAAACCCATTTTTTTCTGAAATACGAAAAACAAAAAATCTAAATCAGAAAGGCAATCGAGTAACTCTCAATAAATTATGATAGACTATAGTTTATGCTACTAAATAATAGTAGGAAAATTATGATAAGTAGCTCTCACATCAACGATCATACAATTTAATAAACGCACAGAAACTGATTTTATAGAAGGTTAAAATTATATCACACATTTCTATGATTTTAGTAAGTTAGAGTTTAGTATAACTTGCTATTAAAAGCATAAACCATCACTAAGCTTTTGTAACACACAACCTTCACTAGTTAATTGAACTCTGTGCCACCAGAGAGCGTCACTGTATGTTCTACTGCAAAAGCTTGCTAAAGTTCAACAGTGACAATCAAATGAGGGTTTTCGCGAATGAAAAATCCGCCAGATGGCAATACGTAGACGCGAGGTCCAAATGCTGCATGATTGTCGGCCGTTTGGTGTAGTGGTTCAGAACGGACTACTATGCCGAGAGGTCCCGGGTTCGATTCCCGGCCGGGCAGAAATTGAAATGATGAATTTTAATTTCTGTGACGGGTCTGGGTGTAAATATGTATAATATGTATGTATTTAATAAAAAAAAAGTATATAAGTAGTATATCCGTTAAGCTAGCACCCATAACACAAGCATTGAGTTGCTTACTTTGGGGCCAGCTGGCGCTGTGTGAAATTGTCCAAAGATTTATTTATTTATTTATTTATTTATATGTCAAAATCCACCAATCACGCAGCAGTCAGACCCCACATCCACGTCCCGCCATCTAGCGGATCTTTCATTCGCGAAAACCCTCATTGTGATTGAATTTGGCTCTGCACAGTATGATAAGTTCATATTATTATTTACGGAATTACGAAGATGACTTTAAAAAAAAATGTGCTAGTGATTTAGATTTTTTAACATACATTATATTTGATTTTTACATGACTAGAAAAAAAGAAACCTTAATAGATTTTAAAGTATTTAGACTTTACTCATAAATCATTCATAGCCACACGTATTTATTCTTTGGTTATTATTAACCAACCAACAAGAAATTTGTCTGCTTATAAATTCATGTCCGCAAAATATTAGAATTTATTTATTATTCAAAATATTAGAATCGAACCCAAAACCTTTAACTTAAGACAATCCTTATCATTAACCACATCACTGGACTACAGTCGTGTAGATTACACCTTATATAGCTATTTAACATTATCATAGGAAGTAATTAGTATCGTCGATGTACATTTTATAGACAATCTCTATACATAATGCTCTCACTGGTAAGTTTTTATTGGCGGTCAAGCTGTAAAACCTAGCCACAGGAATTAGAACTTACGTGCTATAAAGTAACTTAAGTAACCCTTGTAATAAACATGGCGATGAGGATCAGTACTGTTGTAGAAAATTNATGATCTTCATAGCAATGTCTTGTAGCCTACGCAGAGTGTATCTGCCTCAGCTATACTTATTGTTACAAGTAAATAAATTAATATTTATACATTTTTATATTTTACTTGGACGAAGATATGACTCTACTAACAACACTTATGAACACTTTATTTGAATAAATCGCCAAATATACCACAGCGGAGACCCTAATCGCGTCTCCGCGTTCCATTGAATCGTATGAGCGTATGGATTTTTTGCGATATTTTTCACAATTTCTATTTAAAAAAAATACCTATCGATAGCTTACTTTATTCTGATGAATAAATGTCATAACAAGTTTTTCTCTATAACTGATAGTTTGGCTAGAAAAAAATATTTTCTATCCACGCAGTACGCCGGCAGCGTTCGGATCGGATATAGTGACGTCATCGGTCCCGCGCCGGGCGGTCAGTGAACTTTTTTAGTAATTTGGCCATAACTTCGTCAATTTTTATCGTAGAACAAAAATTTTTGGACTGTATATTAAGGATTTCTTAGACCTATAAATCTGCATTCACAGCTAAAAATCGAAATGATCCTCATTGAACCCACGATCTTACACTTAAGAAATGCTAAGTTAACGAATAT